AGTCAGACGTGTTCTGGTAAGTTTAATCTGCCCTGCTTGAAGCCATTTCCATCCATCCATCCCAGGCATATTGAACATGAAAGCTGATGGAGGGTGCCTCACTCTCAAAGCACCAGTCTGAGCAAAGCCTTTGTAGGCATTTTGGAGAGCAGGGGCCAGAGGGTGCCCTGACAGCAGACTCATGGTGTCATTACATCTGAACAAGGGGACTGCCAGGCAGAACTGATGTGGGTAAAACTGTGCCTCACAATGTTCTCTTAGCCTTTCTCTGTGACTCCCAAAGCCTCTGTGTCTCCATGATTTCTCCCCTTTTTTTTCTAAAAGGATCTTAGTCTCTATGTGACAAAATAAGAAGGTCCCAGCTGAGATCTTGCACTCAGCCCTGTCTCATACCTTAAACCCTCAGAACCACAAATCCAAAATTAGTCCTCTTATTTTTCTTTTTCAAAATATTTTATTAGTTTTTTATGTGTATGAGTGTATTGTCTGCATGTGTGTGAGTGCACCCTTGTCATGCAGTGCTGGAAGAGGTCAGAAGAGGGCATTGGATCCCTTGGAACTGGAGCTCCAGATGGTTGTTAGCCGCCATGTGGGTGCTGGGAACCAAACCCCAGTCTTCTACAAGAGTGGCCAGTGCTCTTAACTGCCAAGTTATTTCTCCAGCCTCTGGAACTTCCTTTTTTCTTTCCCTCCCTCCTGTCCTCCTCTCTCCCATACTGGAACCCAACACCTATTTCCTTCTGTGGTGCAAGGGATCAAACTCAGGGCCTTGCACATGCTAGGCAGGTGCTGAGTTGTATCCTGTGACTTCATCAAAACTACGACAGCTGGAGATGTGGCTCTGTGGGAGAGCGATTGCCTAGTGTGCACAAAGGCTGTGTGGGTATGTGCACACACATGCAGGTGTCTGCAGGGACCAGCAGTGTGTGATCCCTCTTGAACTTGAGTTGCAGAACAAACCTGATGTGGGTGCTGGGAACCAAACCTGGGTCCTATGGAAAAGCAGTACAAGCCAGCTGTCCATCCCCAGGAAGTCTTTTAAATGTCATTTGACTTGCATCAAACTGTTGAAAGAGATTAGTCACAGGGGACATGTTTGAAGACCCCCAGCAGATGCTTGAAGCCCCTGACAGTACCACATCCTGAGGCATAGCCCTATTTCCTGTCCGTACATACACAACTTTAGTGTCTTTTCCCCTGCAACTTGCCACGACTGTGACAAGCAGTAGCCATGATATTCCGTGGCTGTAACTGCAGCTCGAAGTGGCGGACATTTATTTTTCCCTTTCCACAACTTCAGAAATGAAAGGATTCATTCTTAGGATAGATCTTAGCAACCTCAGCATACAGGGTTTTTTTTCCTTTATTGCAACAGAAACACCCACCCTTTCACCTGGAGGAAGTGCCTTCTGTTATCTCTTTGGCACTACAGACACCAGCATCATTGGTGCCATTATTGAGTAAAATAAGGGTTCCTTGAACACAAGCCCTGAATACTGAATCTGCCACCACTGTGCAGATGACATGCCCGTAGCATACACAGTATGGATACACTGGATAACGAAATGATCCACATCCTGGATAGGATGGTGTGAGAGTTCACCACACTTCTCAGAACAGTATGGGGTTTAAAATTTCTGGATAGTTTATGCCTGAAAATTTCCATTTAATTTTTTACAATGTAGCCAGTGATGATGACCTTGAACTTCTGATCCTCCTGCTTAGAGCTCCCCAGTGCTGGGATTACAGTCGTGCACTACCACACCTAGTTTCTGCAATGCTGGGAATCGAACTCAGGACTTCGTGCATGCAAGGCAAACACTCTGCTAACTGGGCTACATCCCCAGCCCCTATCCACTGAATGTTTTCAAACCTTGGTTGACAGTGGGTGACATCTGAGATAAGAAGGGACTGCTGTAATGAGTGACTTCACACATGAGTGCAACACCAAGGGATGCCTTTAAGTACCTCTGTGACCAAACACTGGAGGAGCTTTTTCATCAAGGAGACGCCCCCTGCACCCTCTGACTATATTCTACAATTGTTTCTTGCTCTGTAACTGGAAAGGCAAGTCCCATTTGAGGGTTTGAAGGTCCAGATCTTAAGCTTTGGGTGGGTTATTAGCTGATTATTCTGTTGACTTGAGTTTTCAGAGCACTGACAGGACAACTCCGTAGACAACCCCGGGCAGAGGTGTGAAGGGTGTCCTGAGCCCTCTAGCACCCCCAACTGGCCTCACATTCAGACTCCCCCTACCGTTTTTCTTATGTGTAAAGCCTATAGGCTCTGGAATCACCCGCCTGCCTTAAGGCATGCACCATCCAAGCATGCGTGTGCTTACAGCAAGAATCCAATTGTTTTGCTAGAAATAAGACAGCAATAGAATTCAGAAATCAGCAATTTGGGAAGTTTTTAAAAGATTCTGGGACTATAAGTCCTTTTGGGCCTCCCTTTACCCTGTAAATCACACACTATAAATGAGTACACATTTAGAATCAATCCATCAGTAATCATGAGAGGTGCTAGTTTTATGACTAAGAGAAGATGAGGCAAAGAGAGAAAACGATATTGTTTATCCTGGTCAGCCCAATACAGAGACGGGAACAGAGGGAAACCTTTAGGTTTGCGTTTTCAGCCCTGGAAATGTTCGCGAAGACACTTCTCCTTTAGCCTGTCCTCAAGTCTTGTAGGCCCCAGGGCAGGAGACTTCAAAACAAACATTCCATTGTTTGACTTTCTGGCTAATCATTACACAGTTGCTGGCAGCCAATCTGAGGATGGGACCAACTGTAGCCAGCTGCTGAGGCTCGTTCAGGTCTTCTTTGGGACCAAGTGAGCATGCCCATTACCTGCCCACCCAACTGATGGGAGGGTGACTGGTCTTATTGACTGCCATATGAGCTCTCCAGAGCCTGCATAGCTCGTAAGAACACAGACTGCTCCTCCCTTGGAGTGGCTCAATAGTTCAAGCTGGAGCAGCTGCTAAGCCACACATGTAAGGGGAAAAGGCCTGGACACACTTTAGCAAATAAGCATTGTTAGTTCTCAAGGCTGACGTCAGCCTCATCTGGAAAGGACTCTAGTCAGCTTCCAGAATCATATGCATCTAAGATGAAAGGAGTTTTAGAAACTATTCTGAGAATCACTTCACTTCTGATGAGGGCTTGGGAGCTGAGCAGGAGGCCCGGAGAGGAAGTGAATTGCTCAAGGCCACAGAACGGGATCCAGAGGTCCCTCCAGGTCTCTAAAACAAGCTGATGCAAATGAACTGTCTTCAGAAGGAACTGATGTTATACCCTACTGGGTATTTCCATTTCCCCCTTTCTCTCTCTCAGCCTCCTCCACTCTGCTCTGAACCCGGAGGCTGGCCTCATGGCTCCCTTGCATCTGGCTCCTCTTAGGCTTAGCCAGTGGAAGGGACTTGTAGGAAATCAGAGTGAGGAGAGGGTGGCAAGGAGGCCGGTGCCTCCCTGATGTGATGCCATGGACTGGGAATGTTCCCTGACTGAAACGACGGCTGAGTCAGGTTGGCCTCTGCATTCGATACTCTTCTGAGCTCATGAGCCAAGGATAGCAACAGAGCCTCCCCCTCTGTCAGCCCTGAGGTATGCCACTTTGTTCCTTTTTAAATAAAGGTTTTTATTTTTATTTTTATGTGTGTGAGTGTTTTGCCTTTATGTATGTAAGTGCATCTTGTCCCATGCCAGTGGAGGCCAGAAGAGGGATCAGATCCCCAGGAACTGGAGCTAAGGATGGGTATCCGTTGCCATGTGGGTGCTGAGCCATCTCTCCAGCCCCTCAGGTATTTTACCTTGTTTTGTGTTCTCCCAAACCCCACTCAATTCCTTTATTAATCCTTCAAACTGGAGGATTTTGCTTGTCAGGGTGCTGACAGATACATTTGGGAGACTTTCTTATTAGAGAAAGTAAATGTTTGTGTATTAGCTTTCTTTCCCTGGGGAAAAACTACTTGGGATAGAATGACTTTGAGGAGGAAAAGTAAGTTATATTTGGGGTGATGGTTTCCGAAGCGTCAGTCTATAGTCAGTGGCTGGTTGGTTCCCCAGACTGGTTTTGGGTCTGTGGTAAGGCAAGAACATGATGGAGAATGTGGGGCACAGCTAAGCTGCCCACTTCATGGTGGTCAGTGAGGAGAGAGAGAGGACTGGGGTCAAAAGAGTATGCCCCTAACATCCTCCAATGCCTCACCTCCTAAAGGTCTTACCACCTCTTAACAGCACATGAAGCTGGCCTGGAACTCATTATGGAGACTAGGCTAGCCTTGATCTCACAGAGATCTGCCTGCCTCTGGCTCCCAAATGCTGGGACAACCAAAATGTTTATTAAGCACAAAGGAAAAGACAGTAGTGGAGAGGTCAGCTCCTACTGATCATCTTATTTTTTTAATTTTATTTTAGGAGCATGAGTGCAACACCTGCATTTGTGTAAGTGCAACTGTGTCACGCGATGCCCATGGAGGTTAGAGGAGGGCACTGGATTCCCTGAACTAGAGTTATGGATGGTTATTAGCCACCATGTGGGTGCTGGGAATCACACTTAGGTCCTCTGCAAGAGCCGCCAATGCTCTTAACTGATGAGTCATTTCTCCAGTCCCCTGCTGACCATCTACACCTTCACTAAGCAACTGTTGACCACATAACCAAATATACCTGGAAAAGCACCATGGTTTTAACAGACAAACAATGGCTGAGGAACTGCTGAAGACAGTGTAGACTGCAACAGAGCCAATGTGGTGTTATGGCCTTTAACAGCACTTGGGAGGCAGCAGAGGCAGGAGAATTAGGAGTTGAAGGCAATGTTTGCTACACAGCAAGTTTGAGGCCACTCTGGGTTACATTACACCCTGTCAAAGCTAAGGAAAAACAAAACAAAAAACAAAACATAAACAAAAGACTGTACGCAATAGGACTAAAGATAAGTAACTAAATATCATTTAGGATCCTGGGGCAAAAGACTTTAGTAAAAAAAATTGCTGAAAGTTAAAACAATGTCTTTTAATTTTTATTAAAATTAAGGTTTAGAATCGCTTAACTAAAATGTGCAGGGACAGAAGTGTTTGTGATTTCACAGCTTTCAGGGTTTTGAATATTTGCATAGACTATCTGGCTACCCATCCTTAGCCCAAACGTCTTAAACCTGAAATTCAAAACTTCTGACATCATTTAGCACTCAAATGATTTTAGAGTATTTTGAATTTTCAGATCAGAGAGTGTCAGCCTATAGTATTTACCAATTTAAATTCCTACTTTTGATTAAGTATACATTGATTAGATATTTTCACCAGAAAATTAATGAGAGATATTCTCTGAATGGCAAGTCTACTTTGTAAGTCAAATATTACAAAGTTCAAAACTCTATAGAAGATGGCTAAAATTTTCAAGAAATGGCAGAGATAGAAATTATTTCCTGCACATTTTGGATCTATTTAGTTAGAGATGAGGGATAGGGTAGGTGGTAACACACTAAGATGTGATCCTGGACTGGATAAAGCTGATGACAGCAGTTCAGAGTAATCCTGGGTGCATGGGATCACTTACATACCTCGATCATGTAGGGCTAACAAAACTCGTTCATACAAGCAGGCTCTGTAGAGGTCTCCAGGAATAGGTTTTCCTGCCCAGCAGTCAAGTTCAAGCTTCTCTGGGTCAGGGGCATGGGGATCAGGCTCCGCTAGAATATACCGATAGCCATCTTTGTTGAACGGGTGTTCCAAAGGGTAGCCATGAGGGGGAAGACGCTGAGCAGAAAACAAAGGGTCACTAAAAAAAGGAAGAAAATAAATGAAGTAAAAGAGTCTCAGTTCAAGTGTAGACTACTCTATAAGAAAGGCCTCTGAATTGTTAGTCTGATGCTTTGCTTAACTCTAAAACTCCAATAAATCACCTCACCACTGCAGGGCAAACACGAATGTCTCAGTTCAAGTGTAGACTATAAGAAAGGCCTCTGAATTGTTAGTCTGATGCTTTCCTTAACTCTAAAACTCCAATAAATCACCTCACCACTGCAGGGCAAACACGAAAATAATAAAAGGGATTAGTTATACTTTGCAAAGTAGGACTGGTTAAATTACCTGTAGTTTGGAGGGACTGAACTCCTGGGGACTCTTTATACATGTTCTGTATAAAACTGAGTCAGTCATATTAAGGGTAAAGGTAGAACAGGATATCCTGACTGAGGGTGATTTCTTTTAACACATTAATTTTGTTTGTTTGAAGCACGATCTCCCTGTACCCACAGCTGGCCTGGAGCAGGCTACACTACGTAGACCAGGATGGCCTCGGTATCACCCAAATCCACCTGCCTCTGCCTCCTGGGTGCTGGGATTAAAGATGTGCCCCACCTTTATTTAATTTTTGAGACAGGGAGTCAAATAACCCATGTTGGCAGCTCAATGTGTAGCTAGGATGACCTTGGATTCTCCTACTTCCACCTCCCCAGTCCTAGGGTTACAGGTCTTGTTTATGTAATGCCAGGGGACCAAACCCAAGGCTTTATGCATGTTAGGCAAGAACTCTATCAAATGAACTTTACAGATCCTCAGCACGCTTTAGTACAACTACTATATAGTACAATTACTATATAAACTAATGAACAAAAGTCCAAGACAGGAACACCTACTACATATGGAGAATTGATTGGTTTTTGTAACTGAAAAGTTCAGCAAGAAGGCTGGCCTGCCTTTTGCTTAACACAGGTATTCTAGAAATGATTTTAGGACTAGGTTTCACTTCCACTCCTTCTCATTTATATGGTGGTCTCTTTCTCAGACAGGGTCCTTCTTCACAGGTGCAAGAAGGCTGCAAGCTTTCAAGATTTCACACTTCCAAGATATCAAGTCTGTGGTGGAAGAGAGGACCTCTTGATCTCAGAAGATGAATGAATGTTTCATGCCTGGGTCTTGATGGAAAGCCATCATGGGGTCATGCATCATCCTTAAATCAATTGCTTCAAGTAAAATGTTTGCATATATTGTTTAATTTAGTCGAGTCATGGCCCACAATGGACTTAAGAGAGGAATGAACTATCCAGACCATATGACCTAGCATTGATGGGAAAGTAGCTCCTTTAAGGAGAATTATGGGGTCAAACTAACCAACCAACCAACGAAACAAACAAACAAACAAACAAACAAACAAGCAAACAAACAAACAGGCTTTTTAGCCTGGAACACTTGAAATGCTGAAGAATATGGTTCTTGCCCTTCTAGTGAACTTTGTTAGCACCAAATCCACAGACAGAGATAAGTAGGGTGGGTGCTGGTCCCACCTCCGGGCCTTCTTGGTGGTCCCTGTTGTTCCTCCATCCTGCTGTTTACGCTTAGCGCCTCTTCCTTTTCCACTGCTTCCTGCTGCGATTCCCCCTTTGAAGAGAAGGCACATCATTTTCACGGAGCTGCTATGAAACCATATGGGCACTGAAAGCCCATGGCCACTGACATCCCAAAGTGCATTTGTGTAACACCACAGAGGATTTTCCTCTTAGAATGTATACTGGATTTTGGCCTGATTCTAAAAACATCTATGGTATCTCACAGCCAACAGCCCCAAGTAGACGGCAGGTCACATGAATTAAGCACACCTGATATGCGTGTTACACTGAGCACACCTGATATCCATGAAACAGCTTCAACTTTCCTTTCTTCTGTTTAAAAAATATTCACGTGTTTGTGTGTGTACACGGAGGTCAGAGGAAAACTCTGTAGAGTTCTTCTGTGCTTTCACCTTTACATGGGTTCCAGGGATCAAACTCAAGTCACTAGGCTTGTGGGGCAAGTGCCTTTACACACTGAGCCATCTCTTCAGCTCGACCTTCTTTCCTTTCCTTTTCTGTCTTTTGAGACAAGGTCTCCCTATGGTCCCAGCTGGCCTTCAACTCACTATGTAGACCTGGCTGGCCTCAATCTCAGAGAAACACCTGCCTCTGACTCCCAAGTGCTGAGATTAAAGGAGTGCATCATCATGTCTGGCTTTCAACCTTCTTTTCTTTTCTTTTTTCCCTCCATCCCTCCCTTTTTATTGTATGTGTATGAGTGTATTGCCTGCATGTATGTTAAGTGCACCTGTGCTGTACAATGCCCAAGGCCAGAAGAGGGCATCAGATCCCCTGGAACTGGAGTTACACATGGTTAGCCACAATGTGGGTGTTGGGATTCGAACCCTTGTCTTCCGCAAGAGCAGCCAGTGCTCTTAACTGCTGAGCCATCTCTCCAGCCCCCTCAACCTTCTTTTCTTAAAGAGCTATATAATTTTATGAGGTTGTGACACAAATGCATTTGTACTCCAATTCCAAGCACTCATAGCTAAAAAGAATGAAAACAATGACATAATAGCTTTTTTCCCCTACTTAATACAAACATTCATAATGAAAATGTCCTTACTATTAGATCAATGCCCCCTTGCTTGAACTGCACAGTATTTCATAAACATATAAAGGCATATCTACTTAAAAGCACTTGAATATCCAACAAGACAAAAGTACACCAAACACGGAAAACAGAAACAGAAATACTAAAAAGGTG